AAGTCCAGCAATCAGGAGTCCCCTTTGGCTCACCTAATTAACATGCCCAATTAAAATTAAGCACTCCATCCTAACACGGGGTTCCCCCTTTACCTTTATAAACCGCCATTTTCTCATGAGCCACGTCTGTCTCCTCTGTCCCCAGAGGCGGTCCTTCGTGCCCCTCCAGGACAAATACCCCTCCCCCACTTCCCCTTCTCCCTCTCCTTCCATCTCCCGTCTTTGTCTCTTATTCCTGCCCTCTGTCCCTCTGGAGCAAATAAGTCTCCTCTGTGCTGAGAACTTGGTCTTGGGGGTCCTTTTCCTTTCAGAGCCTGAACTTCTCTGAACTTAGGAAAGCATCATTTCCCTTTTCTCCCTCTCTGCCCTGAGTGTCTGCCTGCTGCTCTGTTTCTGACCTCCATGGCGGCTTCGCTCAGATGAAATTTCGGTTTTGATGTTTTCCTTTTCCATTCTTCTCTGGGCAGCTGCTGAGATTTACAGCTTGTCTGCCTGGCCTTGTTTTAATTCAACTTCTGATAAAACTTCCTCGAGCTTCCATTTGAGTCCATTCCTAAGTTATTTTATTAAGGAGACTCAGAACCCCCAAAAGGGGTAGCCAGTTTCTCCAGGATCATAAAGATGGTTCCCTGGGAAACAGCACCTACTGTGAGTGTGTGTGTGTGTGTGTGTGTGTGTGAGAGAGAGAGAGAGAGAGAGAGAGAGGAAGAGCTCTCTCTTTTTAAAGTTTTTTTCTTTTCTTTTTTTTCTTTTTGGTTTTTCAAGAATAATTCAGAATAATCCATGGCTGTGGTGGCCAGCCCTGCCAATTGCTGCCCCAGGGGCATGGATTCTCATTAAAGAACTATTAAATTATGATGCCTGTCTCTATCACAGCCTAAGTAGTGGGGCGTAAGCGTGGTCCCTGGGCTAAATGACCTGATTTAGACCTCACTGGGATGTTAGGTCTCCACCTAGGCCAGAAATTTAACCATGTTTTTTTTTTCACTCTGACACTCACAATAAACAAAATTTTTAAAAAAGTAAAGACCCCCTGTTTTGAAAAAGAAACTAGTATTGGGTCCCATCCATTCTGCACCTGACAGAGTTCTTCCTTGTGTAACAGGGTTTTCTCTGAGGTGCTTAGGCTCCCGCACTCCGGCTCAGCACACCAATTTTGCAAAGGGCAAGGGCAAGGGCAAGGGCAAGGGCGGGATGGTTGAAGTGAGGCTTTCTCTCCCGCTGCGGCTTCAGTTGGGATCAAGGCTGAGCTGCCTCTTCCTGAAGGTGAACTTCGTATTTTATTTCATTTTAAGGAGAAAGGACACACTTAGGAAATTTTGCCTGGAAGCTCAGATTTAAATTTCCAAGGCTGGGAGTGTAGGTGACTGGTAGAGTGCAGAGCCTGAGGAAAAAAAGGGAAACTCACAGCAGGTTACAATTCTAAATATAGTTAGACCTTGCCTTCCACAGAGTTCAGGGCTCCGGAAGATTCGAGGCTCAGATCAGTATCAGTGAGGAATTTATTTTGCCTTCCTCCTCCCAAGAGATGAAAGCAGCTGGTGGAGGAGCAGGTGAGGGGTGGGGAGAGAGAGAGAGAGAGAGAGAGAGAGAGAGAGAGAGAGAGAGAGAGAGCTTTCTCTCTTTCTTTTCT